CCAGGCAACAGGCCGGGCGCTTCGGCGACTTTCTGCGGGAAGCGCTGGGCCGGCGCGCGCGCGTGGGGAGCCGAGGATCCGCCGGTGGCCGCGGGCCCCACTCCGTCGCCCAGGCGGCTATGGACGCGCGTGCTTTTCTGTCCTCACTTCCCGGCCTCGCACCCCGTTGCCCAGGACTTCAGCCGGCCCGAGCCGTCCGGTTAGGGCGCCCGCGCCCCAGGGGCTTTGTACCCTATCCTCACCCGCCTCACTCCGGACCGCCGACTCCCGGGACTCCTCTCCCAGGCACACCGGCTCCTGGACCCCCGTTCCCAGGCACACTGGGCCCACCTGACCCCCGCTCTCTCCCCGGGCACACTGGACTCTGGCCTTCCTTAGCCTGCAGGTCCCGCTTCAGCAGTCACTGGCTTCTGGACCCCACCCTCATCCCCATCACTTCCTGCTCCCCTGGTAGACCCCTTCCAACCTGCTGCGTTGGCGGAGGAACCCACCTTTACTGCAGCGGGAGCCAAGCAGTGGCCGGGGCCCGAGTCTCCCCTCAACCCACAGCTCCTGCCGGCAGCATCTCCCTTCTGGGCCACTCACCCCCTTTTCTTGAGCTTGAGCTCTTTCAGACTCTTCAAAGAAAAGCAGGTATCCCACGGCTTGCATTCTCCTGGCAGGACAAACCTCATCCCTGATGAATGCTGCTGCCAGGGTTCCAGGGAAGCTCAGCCTCTTCCTTGGCATGTGCTGAGCAAACACCTCTGTGGTGCCCAAGTCCCAGCTGCCCAACCCTTCTGGGGGGGGGGGGGGGATGCTACTGTGTCTAGGGAAGAAAGTGACTGACTGCGGGAGTGGAGCCTCCACTGGGGTCTTGGCACAGAGTAAAGTGCCTGGTATCAGATCCCATGGGCAGCAAGGGCTTCTGGTCCAGCTGCCTCCCTGCTGCAGGGGCAAGGCTGACCCGCAGTGGAGGGTTATAGACCCTCCCTCTGCAGTGAGCACCTGTGCACAGATGGATGCACCTGCGGGGCTCCCAAGCCAGAGCCCTCCCTCCCTCCCCTCAGATGCATGGCCAGGGAGCCTCTGCTCCCGGCTGCTCCTGGGCCCATGGCTGGCAGGCTCACCTCTTCCAGGCCTCTCTGCAGACAAAGGCCTTTTTGGCCTTGACGGCCGCTGTCCAGAGACCGGTTGCCTTGGCAGACGGGAGGTGGAGACCACCGCCTGCCAGGACCTCCAGGCACTCTGCCCAGGCTCCGCCAACACGGTGGTCTGTTGCCATCTGCTGGCCGTCCTGGGACTCAGCTCCCGCCTACCCGGATGCCCCGCAGGGTGCCCGGGAAGTGCGGAGGCCCATCTGCTCTGCTCACCCAAGGGCGCAACACGACAGCCCCTGCCGTCTCCCAGGGGCCAGCTGGCAGACTGGGGTCAGAGCAGCTGGACATCCACAGCAGCATCCCCGCGCTCCTTCCCATTCAGCGAGACCCTGACACCGGCCGTGTGCCCTTTCTGCGCCCCTCACACACGTCTGCGGCTGGCTCACTGGAGGTCCGCCCCCCCCCCCAGACTTTGGGGGAGGCCCGGTGTCCGCCCCTGGCTACGTGGGTGGCCCAGCTCCGGCGAGCACCTCCTCCCCCACCCAGTTTGGTTCAGAGATGGCGGAGAGAAAAACCGAACAGGGCAGAACACTCCTGCCCGCCCTGAGCGCAGCCGGTCTAGCAGAGACGCTTTCTGGGGTAGCTCAATAGTAGCCTTTCGGAAAGAACATCTTTACAGCGACTGATAGTTACTGAAGACCCCCAAGATAAAAAAGCAGCTCACTTGAATCCATGCCTATTCCACTTGGTATTTTGTTACTGAAATAATTTAAGACACAAGGACAAGGGGCAACGTTTGTTTTCCTCACTTGCTCGCAGGCACCAAAGTTCTCCTTTACCTGACACGTGCTACAATGAGATGTCAGCGTGTCAGCATCAACCTGCATTTTACAGTGCACACAGAAAACAGTTAATGCTTCGGGCCCACACACGCCTACAGCCCGGGGCTGTATGTGAATGTTGGAATAAGAGCGAGCCTGTAATTTGTTTTAAGGATCATCCCAGTTTTATTCTCTCACAGGAACAGAGCAAAGCTGACGGGAAGCTTGCTGCCGCCGGCCGCCTCAGTAGGAGCGGATGGCCGGAGGCACCGTGGCACAGTCGGCCTCATCCAGGGTCTTGTCGATCACGGGCCTGTACTGCAGCGAGACCTTGAGGGGAAGAATCGGGTCGGCACAGCAGGTATGTGGCCTGCCCTGTGCTCTCGGGAACTTGTGGGGGCTCATGGAAAACGCCCCAAGCTCTGGTAGGCGCTGGCTGCAAGGCTGAGCATGCCCAGTGGTCAGGGCCACTGCAAGGACCACGCCTCACCCTCTAGTGATTGACCTCTGCGCTTGTGCCTGTGACTGGACACTGGCTGGGACTCGGAGCAGCTGCCCAGAGGGCAGAAAGGGGCCGCTGACCCAGGAGCCAAGTGCCCACTTCTGCGCTGTGCTTTCTGATACTAACACCCGTTTCTGTCACCATCACAAGGCCCACAAGCGTGCATTCAGCCTACAGCCAGGAGGTAAGCGGCTTCCTTCTGGGCCAATCACGACATAGCTTTGTTGCTGCCCAGATGCCCCGGTGGGGTGGTGGTGGCCATACACGCTGTGGGTAGAAAGCTCTAGGGCACCCAGCCCTTTGTGCCTGTGCACCCCAGAACTTTCAGTCCCAGGAGAAATGCCAAATCCATGAAAGATGCTTCACTGGACTAAAAACGCTGACTGCTGGAATCTGGGCTTCTGTACCCCCACCCCAGGCCCCGCCACCTCTGCTCGAGCTGCGCCTGGGTGCTCGGGCTGCACAGCACCCCCCAGGCTCCTCTGAGGCTGCTGCCACCTGGGCCATTCGCTGGCAGGGGAAGTCCTCCTGCCCACTCAGACCAGCCGCCGAGGCCTGGCACTTCACCACCCCCAGTGCGGCGAGCTGTTTCCAGACAGGTGCTTAAAAGGCTGGAAGGCCGGAAGCCACACTCCCCAGGCGGGCGGGCACACCCGTACCTTCCCGGTCTGGATGTCCACGTAGGAAAGGGTGTGCTTCCGCCAGTGCTGCTCAAAGGGCTTCCGCTGCTGCCCCTGGATGGGCTTCGAGTAGTCGTACTCGTCCACCCGCACCTGGGTTCACATCAGAGACCGCCAGTTACTCCCAACCCCACGTGGTGCAACAGAGCAAAGCCTTCAGCACAAAAGCCCCCGTGTGAGGCCGGCCCCGTGGGCCCCAGCAGACCACGTCTGGAAAACCAGCATGTCCCTGGACTGCCCCCAACCCGGGTCCCTCACCCACTCAAGCTGACGGGTGGGGCACCGCAGGGACCGTGGAGTGGCCAGGGCCCAAGTGGGTGGAACGGGTGAGCCCGCCGCTCACTCCCACACCGCGTCCCGCAAGGTCAGGCCGCGAGGCCGCAGCTGGGCACGGGCCTGTGCGGGCGGGCACAGGCAGCCTGTGGTCACGTGCCCGCTTTGCCGCTGTCAGGCTTGTGTTTCAGCGTGATGACGGGCGAGACACACAAAAGCCTCTTCAGACGAACCCACGAAGACCAGACGCGTGGCTGTTTCTGCCGCGAGGAGGCAGCAGAGGCCAGACCCGAGCCGGCCGGGGCCCCGCACGCCCCTTGCCGGGGCTGCCGCCACGCGGCCAGCGCTCGGGCCTGGCAATGTCGGACCCGCGTCGTGGTCACGCGGCCAGGGAGGCTAGCCCGGCCCCCGCCCAGCAGGGGCAGCAGACGCCTGTGCCGTGAGCGTGCAGGCAGCAAGATGCAGAAGGCTTTTCTCCGCCGGCCGCTGGGACGCGCAGCGCAGGGGGCCCCGGGGGGGGGGGGGGGGTGCGCACCTTGTAGTCCTCCCGGGCGTGGGCACCACGCGACTCCTTCCGGGCCTCGGCGCCATAGATGGTCTGCAGCGCGCACAGCATCAGGTTCTGCAGCTCCAGGGTCTCCACGAGGTCCGTGTTCCAGACCATCCCTGCAGACACAGGCGCTAGGGGCGGCCGGCACCGGGGGCAGGCCTGGCACCCAGGGGCAGGCAGGGCCGCCCCTCACCTCTGTCGAAGGTCTTCAGGTGCTTCAGGTCCCCGTAGAGCTGGCTGATCTTCTCGCATCCCTCCTGCAGCACGCTGCCCACCCGGAACACGGCTGCGTGGCTCTGCATGGACTGAGCAGACGCACACGAGGCCCGGTGAGGACGGCCCTCACACGCCCACAACAGGCCATGGGGAAACGACGAGGCTGGGCCAGTGACCTTCCCAGCCCCTGGGGGCAGCGACCAAGGGCTGGGCACAGGGCTGCTTCCAGCTCAGCCCCGGGCAGACACTCACTCTGGGTGGCGCAAACCACCTTGAGACCCACAGAGCTGTCCCGGGCCTTGCAGTGGTCAGTAGTGGACGCTGCTGTAGCAGGGGGGATGGGGAGGCCCCATCGCCGGCCACGATGCCAGCCAGCGACCTTCACGTCTACCTCCCAAGAGGCGTGACAGGTAAGCCCGACCCTGCCCAGGCGCGGACAGGACCTGCCTCTGCTTCCCGCCATCTGCGGACGGCCCCACTCCACGCCCGAGTCAAGCCCAGCAGGGACTGGGGCCATTTCTGGCCCCTGGACCTCCTGCACCTCACAGGCAGCTGTGTACCCCGACTCAACAGCCTCTCCCGACCACACGGCCACTGTGACGAGCCCCCGCGACAGTCCCGCTCCTTCACCAGTCGGGGGCCGCCCTGCGCAACCTGGAGGCGGCTCAACCGGCGCCGAGACACCCCCTCTGGGCAGGTCCTGTCCCGTCCGCCCCACCACGGTACCCCCAACTTCACTTCTTGGCAGCACCTCACATTTACAGACGCTCCCCAGTTGGTCAGAGGACAGAATGCACACCAGGGCTCAGGCTGCAGCAGCCGCTCGAGGCCACGTGGCAACCAGACGCGGTTCCCGCCGGCCGCTGCCTCCATTCAGGAGGAGCAGACAGGCTTTTGGGGGACCGCGAAACACGAGCTCGTAAGATTCTTGTCTACTTTAGGTCTGAGCTTTCACACCCCACGTCGGTACCGTGAGGAAACTGTCCAGCTGTTGGCCCCAAACCCGTGCCCCCCCCCAGTTCCCACCTGCAGGTGGGGCCCCCCAGCACAGGGCGCCCGTCCTACCTTCTGCATGCTGAGTCGCAGCTCCGAGGTTCGTATGCTTCCCTCAGCAAACCTCAACTTGTCAAGATTCATAACAGATTCTTCCCCGGCGTTAGCTTTAATTGGCGGAACTTTGTCTCCTAGGGAAAGAAAACAGCGAGATCAACCCCCTGGATCTGACGCCACACGGACATGTCTGCGCCTCTCGGGAGCTCAGAAGGTTCACGTCCAACCTGAGCTCATGCCTGCCCAGACCGCCCCGCGGGCCACCGGCTGGGTCCCCTAGAGCTGCCCGCCCTCCCCAGGCGGGGGCGGCAGTGGCTGCTCAGTCCGGCTCTCTCCAGGTGTGACTCCGAGGCCGCCGGGAAGCAGTGCGGCCCGTGGGCCGGGCTGGCTGTGGCCATCTGCTCTGGTCCTCCCGGGCAGGCCATTGGGGTTTTGCTTTTGATGTTTCAAAAACTCAGCTTTCAGTAAAATTAGCTTTTCCCAGTCGGAAGCGCAGCCCACAGATCTTAACACACGCGCAGGTTCCTTAAGCTGCCCTGGCTGAAATACACCGCAGAGTCAGCCCCCACGTCTGACACGCTGCACCGAAGAAACAGCTCCACTCCTCTCTGGTGTCTGCGGCCCGGTGGTGTGGGCCCGCGCTGCGTGGCAGGACTGGTCACCGCTGCCCGGAGGCCTCCAGCTGGCTGTCCAGGTCCCATTTTCTGGGTGTGAGAGGGCTGCAGGCCTGCAGTGTCGCGTGTTCTGGCCATGACGTCTCGCTCACTTTCAGAGCAAGCCAACCTGGGCTGGCGCCCTGCTGAGTGTGGCCGGCTGGCAGCTGCCCGTGAGTGGGAGGCAGTGACCTGTCTGAGACACAGCCACTGCCCTGGCCCACGGACGGTGTCCGGCCCCCAGGTTCCTTCACGCGGGGGCTGCCGTGCCTCACCAGAGGGTGAGACCAGAAGCCCATCAAAAGCTGCAGAATGCACAGTGAGTGGTCACGTGCGAGACGTCAGGGCTGTGGGTGGGCCAGCACCCCTGGCCTCCGTGGCTGTTCACAGCGCCGACAGTGAGGGCGTGGCTGCCAAGCCTACTGGCTCCTGCGTCCGTGGCAGCTGATCCAGCCCGCTCTGAGAGGGCCGGGACCCGGCCCATCTTGTCCGAGGGAAGCCAGCCTCTCTGTAAGACGGTGCCGTGTGCCTTTGTCTAACTGGGCCCGGATCGGTTTTTCTGAACACCAAGAAATTACACGATCACCGAGTCCTGCTCAATCAACGGACTCCTGGTGTGACGCTCCCAGCCAGAACGGGCGGCCTCAGCTCCACTCTCTACCGTGCGGGCGGCCCCGCCCACCACCCCGCAGCCCCAGGGCCCCCCCGACATGCACCAGGCCTGCAGGACTCCGCGATGCTCAGGGCGCAGGCGCGGCCAAACACCACCAGGTCCAGCAGCGAGTTGGCCCCCAGCCGGTTGGCTCCGTGCACCGAGGCGCAGGCCGCTTCCCCGCAGGCGTACAGGCCGGGGACCACGTGGTCCTGCCCGTCGACGTGCTTCAGGACCTGTGGGGGGGAGCAGGTGCAGGCTGAGCCTGTAGAGACCTGCCTCCCCGGGCCCTGTCTCTGGGGACCCCCGAGGCCCAGGAGCGCCCCGAACTCAACACCTACCCCCCATGCTGTCCGCCAGAGGCGTGGCGGGCACAGAGCGCTGCAGGCAGAGCTCCCAGGGGCCCTCAGCACCTGCCACTGAGGGGTGAGCGCCTGCATGGCCAGGTGCTCCTGTACCCCGGGAACTGCAGGACACATGGGGGACGGGCGCAGAGGGCCGGCCGCAGCCCTGCAGCTGCTCCTGGGAAGGGCCAGAGCCCAGAGCCCCCCGCAGAGGTGTGGAGCAGAGACTGGACCAAGCTGAGGTGCCTGGTGCCCCTGCCCAGGGAGGCGGCAGCCCTTCTCAGGACACGCCCGCCCCAGCGGCAGCCCAGAGGCTGAGGAGGGCATCCTGTGCTGCGCAGGGGCCCTCAGCGCCTCACCTGCCCCTTGTAGTTGGTGGGAATACCCCCCATGTTATAGTGCACAGTGGGGAGGACAGGGATGGGCTCCTTGGTCACGTCCACGCCCGCGAAGATCATCGCCGTCTCAGAGATGCCGGGCAGGCGCACGGCCAGCTGCTCAGGGGGCAGGTGGTGCAGCTGCAGGTAGACGTGGTCCTTCTCGGGGCCGCAGCCTCTGGGAGCACAGAGCCCCACGCCTCAGGTGAGGTGGAGGAAGTATGAGCCCCGTAACAGGCGCCGCGAAGGGGGGGTCCCTTCCTGTGATGGCTGACCCCGCCACCCTGGTCATCCTCGCCCAGGGGCAGGCTGAGTGGCGGTGTGGACGGGGCCTGGCCCTCCCCAAGCCCACCCCCCGGTTAAGGTGGCGGAAACCCTTTGACAATTGTCCCAGAGAGCCCCCACCCCGCCTCCCCGGTGCCGTCACCTCAAGGCTCTGAAGGCCCCGTGCAGACACGGGCAAGCCCGGCCCCCGCGCCCAGCCGGCAGCCCCAAGGCGCCTGACACAGGTCATGACATGACCTGCCCGGAAGTGCCTCGCAGAATGCTCGCTGCCCACCCCTGCTAGGCCCACCCATGCCCGCGCCGGCCTCGCCCACTGACCTGCCCTCGCGGATCTCCACAGTCATGGACCGAGACACGACGTCCCTGGATGCCAGGTCCTTGGCGACGGGGGCGTACCGCTCCATGAACCTCTCGCCCTGGCTGTTGATGAGGATGCCCCCCTCTCCACGGCAGCCCTCCGTGATGAGACAGCCGGCGCCGTAGATGCCTGTGGGGTACCCCGCCTGTCAGGCCCTGCCTGCCGCAGGGCCGCCCCGGGAGAGAAGGGGACATGTTTGCTCGCAGGGCGTGCTGGCAGCGGCCTGACCACGGGCCCTGGGGAAGGACGAGCACGCCTGTGCCTGGGCCCCCGCGCCATCTTGCTCAGGTGAGGATCAGCCTGGGCGGCGCCTGGGGCGGGCACAGGCTCTCTCCTGCACCGCGGGGTTGGCGAGAGGCAGTGAGAAGTCATGTGTGCTTTATCCGTTAACACATCCCCTCCCGGCCATCAGTGTGCAGTACCCCAGTGGGCAGGGCAGAGAAGTGACCTGGGCTCGTTTCTGGATGGCACCCCGAACTCGGGACTGCAGCTCTTCCTCTGCGCTAACAGCCCCCAACCGCACCTGGATTCCCACAGACGCCTCTGCCTGGCCGCACACCCCCACCCCAGCGGTGACCTGTCTACACTGACACGGAAGCCCAGGCCGCCTCTCCATGCCACGTGACGCCACGTGAGCTGGCAGTGCCGGGAAAGACCCGCCCGGCCGGCCAGCCCGGGACACACACAGCTGTCATGGGGTGTCCGGGCAAGACGGCCGGCGCTGAGACGGCGCCCCACTGGTGGGGAGCCGGGCACGGACGCACCCCGTGGGGGCCAGCTACCTGTGGGGTGGAACTGCACGAACTCCAGGTCCTGGCAGGGCAGGCCGGCCCTGGTGACCATGCCGGTGCCGTCGCCGGTGCTGGTGTGCGCAGACGTGCAGCTGAAGTAGGTGCGCCCGTAGCCCCTGGAACGAGAGGGGGGGGCACGCTGTGGCCGGCGTGCTCAGCCTGCCACGTGTCTCCCGTCTGTGAGGGAACTTGAGGAAGGTGCCGGGGCCCCTCTAGAAAGCCACAGCAATCAGCAGCGTGCAACAAGGAACTGCTCGTTTCCCTCAAGTGGACTGACAGCACTTTCCCCCGGAAACCGATTCTCGGCGTCGGCTCGAGCCCAGGCAGCCCTTCCAGAAGTGTCCCCCAGGCCTGTGCGGGAGGGTCCTGGGCGGGACGCCAGCGGGCCCCGCCCCACACGCCCGGCCCGCCGCCCTGCACGAGGCCGCAGTGTGCTGGGCGGCGCTGAGCCCCACCCCGTGGCGATGACGGTGTTCTTCGCCCTGATGCGGTGGATGGAGCCGTCCTCTATGCACAGTGCAATCACGCCGCGGCACTCGCCGCCCTCCATCAGCAGGTCCAAGGCGAAATATTCCACGAAATAGCTGGTGTCATAGCGCAGAGACTACGCAAAACAGGAGGAGACACAGACTAGTCCCGCCTTGAAGGGCGCTCGCGGCGCACGAGCCGCAGTGCGACTCCCACGAGGCGCTCCGCTCGCTCTCCGCTCATCGCAGGGGCAGGCAGGCGTGTCCCCACGGGACTCGCGCACGTCACCACCCTGCTTCCCGCACGTCCTCCCGCTTCCTGCAAGTGCCCCGGCTGAGAGGACACGCTGGGCGGGCTGGCGGCCCAGACGCGCCCGGGCCTCACCCGTCCATACAGCGTGTGCAGCAGGGAGTGGCCGGTGCGGTCTGCCACGCAGCAGCAGCGATGGGCCTGGCCGCCTTTGCCAAACTTGAGGCTCTGCCCGCCAAAGGCGCGCTGGTAGATCTTCCCGTCCTCGGTCCTGCTGAACGGCATGCCGTAGTTCTCCAGCTGGGAAACGCGAGGCAGACAGCGGCGCCTCAGATGTGGCCGGCTCACGGCGCCTTTCCGCTGAGGCAGCTGCACTGTGAGCCTGTGACCCTAAGCTGCCCCACAGGAGGGCAGCTGCCTCAGGAGGGCAGTTTCCGGTGAGGCCCAGCGCGCCCTCCAGCTCTTGGCTGACGAGGCCTCCTGGCGCTGAGCCGCTGGCCCCGGCCTGCCGGCACCCCGCCCCTGCAGGGCCGCACCTCGACCACGGAGGCGGGCGCCTGCTCCGTCATGTAGTGGATGGCGTCCTGGTCCCCCAGCCAGTCGGAGCCCTTCACGGTGTCGTAGAAGTGCCACCTCCAGTTGTCCTCCTCCATGTTGCCCAGCGCCGCGTTGATGCCGCCCTGTGAACAGCACAGCCGCTGGCCTCCCCAGGGATGCGCGGCAGCGTGGGCGACCGCCAGTCCACACCCCCTGTGCCCCCCCCCCGTGACTCGGTCACACCTCTCGCTGGCCAGAGGACCGAGGGGACGGGAGCAGAGCCAAGGGGCCCCCGACAGCAGCTCCAGCTGCGGGGCGGCCAGAGAACCCAAGTCCCAGGCTGCCGGGCCCCTCGCACCTGGGCTGCCACCGTGTGGGATCTGGTGGGGAAGAGCTTCGTGACACACGCCGTGCTGAAGCCGGCCTCCGAGAGGCCAAAAGCGGCGCGCAGACCGGCCCCGCCGGCGCCCACCACCACCGCGTCGAACTCATGGTCCACGACTGGGTATTGCGCGGAAATCTGGAAAGGAGAGCCCAGTCAGCTGCCCGCTCCTGTAGCAGCCACGGGGACAGCAGGCGGCGAGCGCTCGGGGAGGGCGACAGGCCTCTGCCCCAAGGGCGCCTGATGCGAGGCTTGGCCCTGAGGGTCACCCCAGACGTGAAGGTGACACCTGCGTGGCTCCCTGCCCGCTCATGCAAGTGGAGAGCTTGCTGCCAGCTGCCCCGCCCCCGGGCCCACCTACGTCCTCAGCCCTGCCATGGCCAGTAAGAGCTTGCTTGCAAGCAAACCCGCCTTCTTCAGCCAGGACGGGCGGGCCCACGCAGCGCCCCCTGGGCCCTCCAGGCCCCCGCCCCTGGGAACGGCAGGGCAGCACCTGCCACGCCAAGCTGCTCCCAGCATCCCCACTGTCGCTTTACGCGACTTCACCTTTAACTATGTTCTCGGGGACGCAGAATCAGCCAGCGACACACACCAAAGGGGTCTGAGCACGCGTCAAAGCGAGGTGCTCTGTCTGGATACAACCAGTGTCAAGCGCTGGCCGAGACCGTCGCCCCTGCACACCCCGAGGAACCGCGACGTGGAAGCAAAAGCACTGGACTTACGGAATCCGACACCTTGGCGGATGACCTCTTCGTCCCATCCACCGTGAAGTGGAACCCGCGGGCTCCCTTGCGTGATGCCGCCGGCGGCCACTGCAGACACAGGAAGCGAGCGTGGGCACCGAGCCGCTCCAACTCCAGCCCGCTCACCGCGAGCGCCCCGGTGCCACCCTCCGCCGGGAACCTGGGCAGGGCCTCTGCAGGGGACGGGCACGGACCCCCGGAAAGGGCTGGTTCTCAGCACGAGCGGGCCGTGGCGATGCTGGCCCCTACCTGGGCGCTCCGGGAGGCACAGTTCTGTGGTCCTGCGGCCCGCAGAGGGGCTCATGCCCACTGCCCCTCCGCTCTCCCCGCCTCAGCACGGCGGGGCCCCAAAGCGCACTAGGCCCGTGGCGTTGGCCCCTCACGCCCACCACGGTGCCTGGGAGGGAAGGCGGGTAGGCCAGGCCTCGCGGCGCGGCGCACCGGCACAGCGGGGCACCACCCTCGCCCCGCACCCGGCCGCGGCCCGGCCGGCCTCTGCAAGAATGCCCCGCCGCACAGATCTCTACCCAGACCCTGTATGCGCAGAACCACGGCCCAGCCTGTGCGGCCGTGTGCTGTCTTTGAGACGCATGGACAGGGAGACCCCCGCAAATGCAAAATGGACTCCACGGGGCGCCCGAGGCCCGGCGCCGAGAGCGAACGAGGGCCGGCAGGAGCCCTTATTTCAGCACCTCCAGTTACAAAATACTTCCTCCAATTTCTAAGCAGATCTGAACTGGTAAGAACGATATGCTTGAGTCCTCAATTCCAGGTACATTTCGTTTTCCGACAAAAGCTAATTTTTCCTAACGATGTAAATTAAAAGTACATAGAACAAATATCCTGCTTTAATGTAGTTTTTTTAACGGTACAGTCGTATTTTAACAAAGAACTGTCACTGACAGGATTGCAATACAGATGTTCTTCCAAAACTTATAAAGTACAGTGAACTGCAAGTAACAGGAAGAACGCTGTGTTGCGGACGACGGCATTAGAACTCAGACAGAAGCCACGAGGTTCCTTGCCCACGTTTCTCATTCTAGGTGGCTCATGACGACTACACATGGACACACTCGCCCCTGGGAAAGCAGCCTCTAAGCTACCGCAATGCAGTCTTGGTGACCACGTGCACCTGTGGGGAGCAGTAACAGGACCGTCCTGGCCTCCAGCAGACCTGGGGCGATATTCACATCACCTCTGGCTTTAAACGATGCTGCGTCCTTTGTTAAGCTATGTTTTTAAAAAGGTTTATTTATTTGTGCAGTCAAGAGCTGTAGGCCAGAGGGGTAGGGTGAGAGGATGCCTAGAAACAGTGGGGCGCAGAGGGGAGACAGAGAGGTCTGCCGCGCCCTGCGGCCACTCCCTGGCCGCGATAGCTCGGTAGCACAGTAGCCCCCGTTAACCTACATTTTTTGGGCCCCAAGACCTGGGTTTATTTTTTAAAGATTTATTTATGGATGCATCCAGAACTGAGGTACGGGCCAGAGGCTCAGGGGCAGCGAGAGGACTCCCCAGAGACAGAGCGGGGAGCAGAACAGGCAGAGCCACGAAATCCACTGCGGGGGAGACAGGAGAGGTCTGCTGCGCCCTGGGGGTCAGCTCTGGGGCTGGGCATTGACGGCTCTCTTGCAATGCTGAGCTTTAGCCCGTGCGCTGCCAGGGAGGCCTAATCTACGTTTTTGAAGAGAAACTACCAAAAGTCTTCGGACAGGGCGACACGAAGAATGGGAAAACCTACCTAACACGCAGTTAAAGGACACACGGCCCCCCCACAGCATTAGCGCCCTGGTCCTGAGTGGGAGGCAGCAGAGGGCGGAGGGACTCCGACTTATGGCGGAAAAGCAGAGCAGCCTCTCCTCGCCTCATAAAAAGTCCTGCACAAGGAACTAATTTGTCAGTTACCTGGTGTAATTACAGGGGCGGCCAATGAAGGGTTTGAGGTGGTTGCAGAATCGAGCTGAGGTCCCAGACGTGTGAAGCTGGCTGGTGAGAGTGAACCCACTCACTGGCAAGAGTCCGCGTCTAACCTGGACACATGCAGCTGCCTATCAGCCAGCGGCGGGCAGCAGCACCAAGGGCCAGCGGCAGAAATAACGGGGTGCTGGTTCCGCGGGGGCCTAGGCCTGCTGAGGCAGGACTCGTATGCCTTTTCCCAGTTCCTTCTACAGCCGCTACACGTGTCTTTATTAAAAATAAAAGCCAGATGGCTGGCACAGTGCTGGATACCTGGCGGGGGGCTGCAGGCCCGGAGCCTGGGCTGGAACGGGCACCACCGGCCTGAGGCGGTCTACCCACGGCACTGCCCCAGATCAGTGGGCTCTCGGAGTTCCCAGGTGTCAAACTGAGACGGGGACGAACAGCCCAACGAGGGATCAAAACGGAGTCAAGTGAGTGAACTGAGTCACAGATGTTCTGACACCACCGTGGTAGGGTACCCCCAGAAGCGAAACAAAAGGCTACACCACCACCTCAAGGCCCGGAATTCAAACACAACACTTAGGCGAAATACAGAGTGGCTGACTTATTCTAGAATGTCAGAGAGCGGCAAGACCTCACCAGAATCGAGTGGCCTGCCAATGGCTACCTAATGTCCTGCTGCACTCTCCCTTCAGACTGGACTCCTCCGGGCCGTCTGAGAAATGTTCGCTGTTGGTACAGAGAACAGGAAACAAAATGCTCGAAAGCAACTGTCAGCACAACATGACCAATACCGCAGAAGTGAGTCCAAAGGAGACCGAGGGACGTTCCCGGACTTTATCCCGGCACTGTGTAGACAGCGCGCAGCTGAAAATCGGAAATTGCCTCCTTTTGTTCTGGTCCATTTTCAACTTAAACACAGGTGAACCTTGAGCAAATGCGTGTGGGGTCAGGGGACCCCCCCCCATCCAAGGGCAGGTGAACACGTCAGCGAGACTTTTAACTACCGCATGTTTGAGGAACTTGTTTCAGGGTCTTCCCCTGAAGCCCCTCCCAGCTCTCAAAAGTCCGCGGGTGCTTGGTTCCATAAATAGGGGTGAAAGCAAGGAAACCCTTACGGGACACCCAACACCCTGCTGGCCCCCACAGCCTCCATTCGGCCCATGTGACTGGCGTCTGTGCGCCCAGACGCTGATGATGGGAGCCCGCCCGCCCAGCTCGGGCCACGGCAGTTCAACTTCTACACAACCATCTTCCCGACGGGCCCGAAGGGTCCACGGCGAGAAAAGCGGGCGAGGCCGGCCGCTGGCGGGGGCGGCGTGGCGCTGGTGCACCGGGGAATCTTCCTGGGGTCTGGGGGCGGTCCAGCCGGGCCCCCCACAGATCGCAGGCTGGGGGGGGGGCAACCCGCCGGCCCCAGTCTGCGCCAGGCGGGCGAGCCCACACAACTGACAAGCACCCAGACTTGGAGGTTCCTCGCCGCCAGGTTGGACTTTTGGGACCCCCGGGCCCGGTGCCCGGACTCCCCAGCGCGGGGCCCGGGAGCCGGCCGCGGCCCTCCCGGCGCACACTCCGGGGCCTGAACCCGCCTGTCTGCGCTCGGCGGCGTCCTCGGCGCGTCTTCGCGGCGGCTGGGGGCGCGCGCTCCTCGGCAGGTCCGAACCACCGGGTCCGCCACTTGGCGCTCACGGCCGAAGGCCGCTCCCGAAGCGCGACCGCGAGGGGCTCCGGCGCGTCCCCGGAAGACGCGCGGC